CATCGATCCTCTAGCCCAGTTCGATCCCCACTCGACCTCCAATTGACTCTCTAGTCCAGATCAACCCTCCATCGATCCTCTAGCCTGGATTGACCCCCAATAATATTATATCAATTACTTTGGCTAGTTTACGTTATCCCTAGTCTAAAACTATTAATTTCTATGCAAGAATGCCTAGTCATTTTATTTATTTCTTTTAATTATTATTCTTACTTGACTTCCATAATTATTAATATATAATTATCAATGTTTTAAGACTCTCATACTTAATATACGGATTAAACCCTGAAAATATTAGTTACGAATCTTCGAGCGGAATAATTATTTCCGTTTTAGAAAGAGTTTATTAGGAATCTGCGGGTTAAACCGTGAAAACGTTAGCCGCGGACCTTCGAGGGAAAGAATTATTTCCGTTCACGTGACGCGGTTACCAATCTTACGGTAATTAGTATGACAGGCGTGTCTAGTGATTCCGGCGGTAACCCAATTAACGGCGATCTCGGTGTACTGTAACGCCGGTTTAATATGCAAGCGTTGTCGCGACAGGTTCTTCGAATTCCCGTCATGCTTTCTAACAAAGAGAATTACCGCGTCATCCGGGCATGCCCAGACATGTGCGAATTGTTTAATTCGAATACAGGATCGATCCGAAGATAGCGCCTTTCCCTATTTAATTCATTTCTCGTGGAATATTGTTTAAAATTATTGTCAAACTCATTTTTCATCCTCGAACGCTATAAATTATTTAGGTTACGAGTTAAGGAACGAACGTTTTAATAAAACCCAGCGCGGCGTTTAAACACGTTCTTAGTACATAACGGTTTTCATTTACGGCTATACGTATATGGCCGGTTATATGTTAGCCTAGCCTTTGTTGCAGTAAGGATAATAAACGGCCATTTGTTTGTTTTTCCAGTGGCTCGTGCGACTTGGCTACCTAGAATTTACCATGCCACCCCCGCGGAAAAAGAGTAGCTCTGTGTGTCCCGCTGTTATAAATCGTTGTAAGACGTCACACGCTGCGCGAATTTATTGTACTACGAACGAGATAAAAAATCGATTTAATTCTCTCTTTTTACCGGAACAACGGGAAACGTATCACAGGCAACAAAACAGTCGCGTTACTCTGGCCCGTTTTAGAAAACGTAATAACGCCTTGTGTAAGCAATTGAGGAATGCAACATATGAATTCTAATAGACGATTACAAATTCAGCTTTTTAGACAGAATGACACAATCTAGTTAAATATAATGATGAATCTAGATTTAAAATAAATAGTCAGTAGACGAAGAATCATTCTATCCAACAGAATGACAGAGTCTAGACTAAACCTTATCATCTAGTAAGAAGACTTTATCATTTTGTCTAACCAGACTTTATCATTCAATTTGTAAACCTAAATTTGTCTACCGAGACTTTATCATTCTGATTCTTCGTATGCTAGTTATTTATTACTATGTACAGCGAAGAGCAATCCTTCGAAACCCTTTTAACTCCCTTTTAAAAGTGAACAGCTCCTTTAGTAACAAATTCAGCGACCCAATTTTCAAAAGTTATTAAATTTAAAAAAAAAAATGTTAATTCACTTTTGCTGTTCATTGTACAAAGCAGAACCTGTATCCAGTCTGAAGGAACTATGTTCACTATGAATTTTGAATATCATTCTGATAGTTGTATTAGAATCATGAGAGAAAAAGAATTAATAGAAATTTCATATTATAAGATATGAAAATAATGATCTATTAGGGAGAACAGTCATTGAAGTATATGTATAAATTTGTTTAAATGTATGTACATCAGAAACGTGGCAAGCGATGAACATAAGACAGTCGATTACACGGCATAAAGAAACGGTTGCAACGTAGCATAGATCCACGAAAGTCTGAGGGAGTCTGCGATAGGGTGAGAGGCGGTTGGAACAGAGATAGGCGGGAAGAGAAATACGTGATGTAGATATTAAGTTGCTCGGCCTCGACATCGTGTCGAGGGTTATATCGCGGCCGGTGCTCGTTTATAACGCGGCCGGTTATGGAACGGACAATATCTTTATCTTTACGAGGCCCTAATGTTTTTAATTTCACGACGGATTATCGTAAACGAAACGAGTCGGTGGAAACGGCCGCGAGTAGCCCGCCAGGGCTATGCCAGTCCGGCGTTCTGTTCCCCTATGCCACTTTGTTAACGAACGCGCACGTAAACCTCGCGTTTATAGCGTAACCGCCACTTAAATATTAACCGCTCTATGATAAACGCCAACCGAAACTTCCTATTTCTTCCCTGCGGATATGATAATTCGACTAAAGTCCCATTCGTGTCTTGGGGTAAATTGCTAAACGTATAGTCGAATAAAATATTGTTATGTTCCTCGAAATAATAAACAGTAAATTAGTGTTGATGAGCTGAGAAATAAAGAAGTGGAATCAAATGGCATTTTTGGCCAATTTAGTGGGTGACTGACGTTCTGTCATATTGGGGCCCAAATGGACCTTCCCTCGAAATTCACCCTCTTAATTTCATACAGCATATGTATTATGTATTCAGCTGCGAAATTCTCGATGCACCAATTGTTGAATTTGCAGGAAGTATGATAATTAATCTGATAGGATCCTGCATCCCTGCATGGATGCAACAGACAGAATCCATTACGTCTAATTTCTAGCTCTTCACTACGTAACTACGAGCTATCAAAGTACAGAAATTTGTCAAGGGATTTGTCTCGGACAGATTTTTATTAGATTAAAGCATCTCTGCAGATGAAACTGTATTTATTTTAATTAATGACAAACTTGATTCAATGAAGAATTTCTGAATTACGATCTAATAATGGAAATGAATTCAACGAGACGCCGTGATTCGAGCCAACAGGTAGAGGGAGGCAGTTTCGTAGGGATAATTCATCACTAATCGAACATGGGTACCAGCAGGTGCACAGGGGTTTGGTTTTCACCCTTACCGCGCTGATACGCCGCTGTACACGCGGTTACATTCTATTATCGGCTACTGCCGTCGTCAAATGGTAGGCAGAAGATCAAAATTCAACGATAGCCCTGAGAAATATCTATTAACCCCGATGGCTTACGTAATTATCAGATCAACTAACTACGTTCATGGTTGATTATTATTAAATGCATACAATGCACGTAATTATATCATAAATTATTTGAGAAATTCACATCAATCTAACTTAACTTGATATTTCTCATTTTTACACTTTATGAAAATCCAATAATAAATTCATGCATTAAAAACAAAATTCAGTTTACACTATTGGGTCCTCTATGTTCGTCCTTAATGGTAGGGATTTTTCGTATGACTATTTATTTTATTATTTCGTTTTATAGCTACAAAATAATTAATGAGGATCAATTATCAACTATCAGTATGAATCAATAATAATTTCATCTTCACAACTTGAGTGAACAATTGTTGTCCTTGATTGACAATAACCATTGTATCTGGTTTTTAAAGAGTCAGACTATATATCTAGATAGAGAAATATTATAAAAATGACCTGACTAGCCAAGCCCTTAATAAATCTGCGGAGCATGGAAATCCTCCATGATTTCAGTTAGCCCAGTAAATAAGCTAGCCGAGTTTTAATTATTCCTGTTTTCTTATTCACCAACCGGTCACGAGCTTTGCTCCCAAAGCTTCCTCTTCCAACCCTGTCACTGTTCTCTCTGTCCACCTAACATCGGCCCTCTCTCTCCCTCAAGATTTAATTATGCAAATCGCGGGGGCCACTAGACAAAACCAATATTTGCCCGAGTTCTTAGATGAAGGTAAGAGAGGTTCGGGGACGGTGGGAAGAGGCAACGGCGTCGCGACAGTCGGCCAGGTAGGATTCATAATCAGGGTGATTCATTTGCCTCGGTACATAAAAATGTAATCTTTCCCCGGGTCCTCTGGCTCCTTCGGCTGCGCGGCTTCTCGTTGTTGCGATAAATACATTTTCAACGGTGAATCGTAATAGCGTCCCCGCTGATTAAAGCCGCGCATTAACGCCCTTCGCCGGGTGGGGATTACGCGAATTGTATTGTCGCTGCACCCACCGGGAGGCCTCGGCTTTCTGGAGAGGCAGCGGCGCGAGCGCGGAACCCGCGTAATCTCCCGGTCGTGGGCTTTGTTTAAACGGAAGGCAATAATGTTGTTTGCGGAGCATTCGAAAATTAATAGTAGATGGAAGGAGAGAGTGGAAGTGAATTAATTATTAGGATACGAGTAGTCTAAAGAAAGCAGGATTCCTGATATTTTGCAGCAATACATTTTTTAAATAAATTTGTTAAAAATTGAAATCTGCAAATCCCGTTCGAGGGCTTTTAATTTATTTCTTAATGAGTCTAAAAATATTTACGGGTTGCAATTTGACTTCATCAAGTTTGGAAAATAAAAATATTCGGAGATTAAAATAAGACAGACTTCCCTCGAGAGTAAGCTTCCTAAATTTTTAAACAATTCACTTTTTAAGTGAATTTGCTAAAACTTGGAATCTGCAAATCCCCTTCAAGGGATTTTGTTCTATTTATTTTTGTAGAAGTCTGGGAATATTTAAGGGTTACCATTTTTCCTCATTAAATTTACAAAATATTGAAATACTAAAATAATTTTTGTTCTTCCATTATAAAAACCAGAAATTAATATAAATTCGTTTGTTCACTGTTTGAACATTTTATATACCCTTTGATCATTCTTTCGTATGTTAAATTATATTGAAAACGAGAAGGACGGAATACGAACGGGACGAAAGGGTTATACTTATCGCCAATTCCCCTTTAGACTTTCCCGAAGTAATTTAACTTCCATAGAGGAATAATTTTATTCATTTATATAAAAGTTCGTATAAGTATCCTGAGAAAAACGGCTCCGCCGGAAGAGAAGTTGGCCGGCCACTGACGGGGGAATAACGGCTCGAAAGAAACAGTTGAAAAGTGATTTCGCCGAGTTCGGAAAGAATGGAATTTATTCATCTTGTTTAACTTACTAATTACGATGTCATCTCGAAGAGGACACGCTTCCATCACCTGCGTACGAAACTCAATGCTTCCCAAACCAGATATTTGTTCCCCATTAATCCATCATCCATTGATTTTCATCTTGAGTGACCCTAAAATTTTATAAGATTCAAATTATAATAAAATGTACATTGTAATGTTTTTAAAAAATATTTATATGAAATATGTTTTTAAAAAATATTTATATGAAATATGTTTTCTCATAACTGTTTTTATTTTGCACGAAATCCAGTTTAATAGTAAATAGAATATGTTTAAAAATCAGAATGCAAACATGAAATGTCGTAGGATTCATTACAACAGCAACGGTTTGAATACTGAGCGCAGCTAATTCACTGTTACAAATCGAGTAGCGAAAAATGGTTTCTTGGGGAGGAAGAAAAGCCGTAACGACGAGCATCAGGACAATTATTCATTATTTTCCTGGGGTTTCACCATGAAATCTCTAATAACGGGTGCGTTGAGGCCTTCGCGGCGCCGAGGTACCGTAGGAGTTTAAAAGCCCCCCTCGCGATAAAAAAGGAGAGCCGTCGGTAGTCAAGCAGGTAATGTATCCAGTTAAAAGTTTCCCGAGTCCACCGGGGAGAGAGAGAGGGTGGAAAACTTCTGAGGCCGTCGCCAAGTAAGGGGCTAAGGTGCCAGTAGAGACTAGAGATTGTGCATTTGTTATTCATGGGGGTCCGGCGCTTCAGTTCGCTTTAACATTTCATCGTGTAGAAAGTAGTCGCTTTCACTGTAATCGACCGACCACCTATGTAAACCGTCAACGATGCATACTTGAGGGAAGATAACGAGTCTTGCCTCGTTTCGATTATTACTTTTAGTTAGGAATATCATAGCAATTTTTATAAATCATCAATTTAATATCACTTCTGATACAAAGTAAATCGTTCCTATTTTAACTTTGAGGAGTAGAAATTTTTGAAGAGATTCCTTAATTAACGAGAATCTACGTTCGTTCTGCAGTAGTTTAGGTCTTCAGCTTTTGTGCTTCTTCAGATTTTATGATCGGTCGATTAGTTCAGATTAATTTAAATTAGGTTAAGAGTAGAACTTTCTGAACAGGTTCAACAGGGATAGGAACAACTCTACTGCATTTTCACTCAACATGCAAAATTATAGGAACTATGAAACAAAGTAAATTAATAAGTCCAAACTATATCTAAATCATTCCTCAACTCTGTCTCTTAAATATTTTATATTTGCATATAAATCCATACTTATGTATTACAGTGAACGATTCATATTCGATTTTCATAAATACGTAGGACACTGATATTAGAAAATTCTATCATACAATTTTTATATACGATACCTTGAAAGTATCTTACAAATATCTTTAACACACAGTAATTAAATGACAATTTTTTATTAATTTCTTTTTAATTACCTTTAAATCGATACCGAAATGTTGTCCAGTCTCATACAGAGATTTCCTATTACGAAAGCCAGTAAAAATTCATCTGTACATCGCAGTTTTTCATAAAATCGCGCAGCACAGCAATTTTTTATTGAATCGACACGGTGACGGTCAATTATAAAGCTGCCCGCTGCGAGTTCTTCGGGAAGGTAGGGACAATTTTCAATGGACACTGGTTGTCGATATTCCCCTCGTACATCTTCTGTCCGCATGTAACGCACGGGGTACAGGGTGCGGAGGTACATACAAGAAGGGGTGGAGGGTGGGACTGGCAGTTCGAAACAGGCAACTAACGATGTGGTGAAATCAGTACGAACAGATCAACAGGCTCTTCATTTTTACTATATTGATTTTACTGTTAATATTCCTATGTACATTCATAGACTGCAGATTTCATTTTTGCAAATTCCATTGTTCTGCGATAATAAATTTCCCATTTTATTTTCTACTTTTCACATTTTGTAAAAGGCGCTAGATAAAGATGAGGCGTGCGGTGACGAAAACACCGCGGAGCTTAAAAGCACCATCCACTGAGTAAGTATAAATAGATGGGTATTTCATTATGCGAGAACGCCGCTTTTTTGAAAGCATCTTAAATTTCGTCGAGCGACAGTTTTTCCCTGAGCCACTCGGAGCGAGAAAAGGGGCGCCCAGGTGCGCCCTGCATCGTTTCTACTCGAAAGCGTTGGGGTCGCGTTGGGACGATATGAAATTTCCCACCGCCATTTCCCTCGATCCCTATCTCCACCAGAATCATTTTGTTTCCTACCTTCCCGTCGAATCGAGCCACCGAAATGAACGAGGAACCAACTAGCATTCTTCGAAGCTTCGTAAAATTCCCGCAGAGTTTCCCTCGATTTCCAATTATCACTTAATATGCAAATCATTCTATAATTTCCCACGCGTGAAATCGACCCAGCCCTGAAGAGGTTACACGGATATTTTGTCATCTAGCTGTGCCAAGTTTTGACTACATTATCGGCCCTTTGCTGAGGCACAAGGCTGCTCGAACCCTTACATAAAAATAATGACGAAGCATTGAAATTTTATCAGTTACTAGATTTTACATTAATAAAACATTGTACAAAATTTTAGATGACTTCGATGAATGACTGACTGTTAATAATTTATACCCCTTGACGTTCGATCTTCGCGATTATACTTGGTATTTAATTTCTACGGTTCTAGCGTATGAAATTTAATGAAAAAATTTAGAGTACACTTCTGTACGAGTAGCATAAACGTGAATTTTTCTAAATCGATCGATTGATTATTTCTATTAAAAAAAATTCATGAAAATCGTAAATTTCGAAGAATTGTCAAATCTGACTGGTCACAAAATTTTTGTTATTTTCGAAATTTAAGTTCTCCGTTTTTAGTTATTATTTATATTAAAAAAAATTCATGAAAATCGTAAACTTCGAAGAATTGCCAAATCTGACTGGTCACACAATTTTTGTTATTTTCGAAATTTAAGTTCTTCGTTTTTAGTGGCTGAAAATTAATGAAAAAGAAGAAACGTAAATATATTATAAATATGCAACTAGTAGATGTGTGAATTTTTTCAAGACATTCCACCCGTAATTTACAATAAATAAAAATTCCTGAAATTCGCAAATTTCGAAGAACTGCCAAATGGTCCCACGCAATGTATTTCTCCTCCAATCCCAACGAATCAAAAATTCTAAAAACCTTCAGCTACGTACTACTATAGTTCAGCTTTAATTTGTAAAAACAAAACTTCGCGATGAATCCTATGATTCCTCACCTATAAATGTTTCAACAAAAGGAATGAGGGACACCCCGAACGAGATTAAAGAAAACAAAAGCGTGCGAGATTGCGTAGTTACGTAATCCTCGTTGGTATCGAAGTAGGCGTAACTCGTCGCAACGAGTCGCGCGCTCGTGTTACGTCGCAACAGTCACCGAGGGATGATGATACTAAAGAAGGGAAGTCTCCTGTATAAAGGGGTGAGCGTTGTCGGATTAAGCCGGAATAACCACCGACGCGAACACGTCTTGCCCAAGCTTAACGGATGATTAATCTATCCGGCACCCTTCGCAAACAAGTATCTATCGCGCGCGTTACCTACCACTACTACCTGTCCGCCGTAGCCGGCAACGCGAGCGGCAAAAACGGCTGCTTCCAATTACCATCGAGCTCCCTCTACCTCCGCCCCGCGTCCCGGCTCCTCGAAATCTCACGCTAATTCGAGTTCCGGCCCGTTCGTTTCCGAGACCGCGAGAAAGGAGGGTGCGAAACGCGCTCGAGATTCTATCGAAATGCCTGTTCGGTCGTGCCCCCCTGCGCCACGCGCGCACGGTTTAACATCAAAGGAATTTTACAGACGCATACCGGCATGGCTCACCGTGTCTGTGTACGTGCACAGTTGCTTGCGTTGGGTACATGTATAAACAGTAGAAGCGTTAAATATTTGAAAAGAAGTTTGTTTAAGGTCCTCGTGTCAGGTACTTCATTCCCATATTAATGGAAATAAGTGAATGACCAGCTCTCGACTCTTTTGACTCTATTTGGATTCACACAGTGACTCTTAAGGATGTATTGGCTATACAATCAAGCCCAAACGTTTATGTACTTTAGAAAAATGCATTTCCCATAATTAAAAAAAAATCAGACGTCGGAAGAACAATGCTAATAATAATAAATAGCTACGTGCTAAAAAGTATAGAAGGAAATATTCAGTTAATTATTGACGCTGGCGAAAAGATTTTTATACAGACGTTGTAGTCACTGACATCCTCTACAAAGAAATATTCTATGTATTTTTTTCTAACTCCAGTACTTAACGAGTTAAGTATGATTATTTGGCATTTTATTGACATTGACAAAATCCGATCGTCCCAGCGTCGAAATGGCGAACTTTTGGCAAAAAATTTTGTTTTTCCTCAATAACTCCTAAACTCTTGGAGTTACGAGAAAATTGCATAGGACCTTTCTTATAGAGGACGGCGAGATCTACAA